GCAAGATAATGTGTTTTGGTTGCAGGAAAAGACCTAAATATTGGGGTAATCAGCTCTTCTACCACCACATTAAGACTCTTATCTTGTACTTTGTTGTGCACTTTTGAAGATTTTCCATTCCTCTATTTTAAGTCCATGATGTAAGGTAACATCTAGTGTCACCAATGAGGTTTACATTCCCACCTCTGTATATATTTTGCTTTTCTTCAGTCTCATGTGATATTTTCCTTTATTATACAGCACCACATACCACATTGTGTATTATGAGACTATCTGTCCTGAAGAGATCTGTAAGGACACACCTAAATCAATAAATTCATATACCTGTGGTTATCAGTCTCCTAAGTTACTCTATATCTCCCAGGGACCCTGATGAATTCTTACTGGATTATATTAGCACACAATTCAATTTCCACAATGACATCTTTCATTTCTGTACCAGGTTTTCTCTTTTTTTGGTCCTCTATCATTCTTTCACATAGCAAATAGCATCCTCATCAAATGATGAGCAGTTGAAGATGACTGATACTGGACTTATCATCTTCCAAAAATTATCAGCTAAGTTAATCATATTCTTTTTTAATGATACAGTGTCAACTGTCAAGTTATAGAAATATAAAGTGAAATGATATGAATCGAAGGGGAAAGCAAAACTTGAGTTTGGAATTTTCATGATCAATCTGTAGGACTAGTGATGGAGATAATATCTTTGAGTAATATCTGTATGGGCTACTGACAGCTCTTCTCCTAGGGATAGGTTCAATGTGACCTTTAAACTGAAACTGATACCTACATATGAGATTGTATTTGAAAGTTTTCCTGTGTCTTGCCTGGTTCTGCAGCTTCTCATACCCAAACACACAGAGGTTTATCTTATTTGTAACTGCCTGGCCATTAGCTCAGGCTTATTACTGACTAGCTCTTTACACTTAAATTAATCTATAATTCTTATCTATATTTAGCCATGTGGCTTGGTCACTTTTCTCAGTTCTGCCTTGTCATCTTGTTTCC